TACTCAGCATAGCAGCCTGCAAAGAATTAAACCTCGTCAAATTTACTCAGGAATTGAAATCAGAATTGGTAGACGGTAGTTTTTCGATGACAACACAGCAAGTTTCAGAAGACGAATACTCAAAACAAATTCGAAAAGAATATGCTGATGTATTTTCTGGATTAGGCCGTCTCTCTAGACCGTATCATATGGAAGTAGATCCCATGGCAGACCCGGTCATACATCCACCACGCAAAGTTCCACACCCTCTGAGAGATCAACTAGCTGAAACCTTAGAAGATATGGTGAAACAAGGCGTTTTGCAAAAGGTCGATGGTCCGTCTGATTGGGTTAACTCAATGGTAGTGGTCCAGAAAAAAGATGGAAGTCTGCGTATCTGCATCGATCCTAAAGATCTAAATCGGGCGTTGAAAAGAGAGCACTATCAACTTCCAACAATCGAAGAAATTACAGCTCGAATGCCAGGGGCACGCTATTTTTTCACGTTAGATGCAAGATCGGGTTATTGGCAGATACCCCTCGACGAAGAAAGTTCCAAACTCACAACTTTCAACACGCCATTTGGTCGTTTCCGTTTTACCCGCATGCCATTTGGAATCCGAAGTGCCCAGGAAGTATTTCACAAACGAGTACATGAAATATTCGAAGATATTCGTGGAGTGGAGACTGATATTGACGACATTCTCGTGTGGGGAAGAACACTTCAAGAACACGACGAGCGCCTAAAGGCAACGTTGGAAAGAGCAAGAGAATGCAATCTAAAGTTCAAGTTAGAGAAGTGCCACTTCAGGTCCACGAGTGTTGTTTACATCGGACATAAGCTTACATCGGAAGGAATCAAACCTGATCCACAGAAAATAGAAGCAATCGTGAACATGCCAGAACCACATGACAAGAAGGGAGTTCAAAGGCTTCTCGGTATGGTGAATTACGTGGGTAAATTCGTACCGAACCTGTCAGAAATCACGTCACCACTGCGAGAATTGCTCAAGAATGATGTGTCGTGGCATTGGTCAGAAAGACATGCAAGTGCTTTCGAAAAGATCAAAACCATTCTTACAAATACAGAGCATGGAATCTTAACCTACTATGATGTGACGAAACCAGTAAAGCTTCAGGTCGACGCCTCAAAATCCGGGTTGGGAGCGGTACTTACCCAATCGAACATGCCAGTTGCATATGCCTCGAGATCTCTAACACCGGCTGAGACTAGATATGCTCAGATAGAAAAAGAACTTTTGGCAGTCGTGTTCGGGTGCAATCGTTTCTATCAGTATATCTATGGCAAGCAAATTATAGTTGAATCAGATCATCAGCCTCTCGAAGCCATTATGAAGAAACCACTGGATAAATCGCCAATCCGTTTGCAAAGAATGCTGCTGAATCTACAAAGTTATGATGTTGAGATAAAATACAAACCTGGCAAGGAACTATATTTAGCTGATACGCTGTCGAGAGCCCATCTATCTAATTGCAAATCCGAAGAAGAAACACTGGATTTGGAGTATCAAGCAATTTCCATGATTTCATCACTAGCTGTATCGGATGACAAGTTAAGGGAGATTAAGGAAGAAACGAAGAAAGATGGGACAATGCAAGCACTAGTAAAATTTATCAATGAAGGCTGGCCAAGCCACAAAGATCGTCTCCCAAAGTCATTACAACCACTATGGAACTACAGAGAAGAGCTGACGGAAATCGAAGGCGTGGTATTCAAGAGTGATAAAATTTTCATTCCACCCTCGCTACGAGAAAATGTTCTGAAGAAGATTCATCAAAGTCACATGGGTATTGAGAGAAGTAAACAACGTGCTCGTGAATTAGTTTTTTGGCCAGGCATAAACAAAGAGATCGAGTCAGTCGTCAAGAATTGTTCTGTCTGTGCCGAGTACAGATGCAGCAATCAGAAAGAGCCAATGTTTCCGCACGAAATTCCCAAATATCCGTGGCAGATCGTAGCAACTGATATGTTTTTCTGGAACGGTGATGATTATCTACTGGTTGTTGACTATTACAGCAGATTCTGGGAGATGTTCAAGGTCTCAAACACAAAAAGCTCCACAATAATCGCCAAGATGAAAACCCTTTTCGCAAGACATGGGGTGCCAGAAGTAGTTAAATCCGATAATGGTCCACAGTATTCATCTGGGGAGTTCACCGAATTCGCCAAAACGTGGGGTTTTAGACATGTAACTTCGAGTCCTTTGTATCCACAGTCGAACGGCCTAGCGGAAAGAACTGTTCGAACAGCGAAGTCAATTCTAACGAAAGCTCGAAGAGATCATCAGGATCCAAATTTAGCTATATTAGAACATCGAAATACGCCGATCAACGACGTTGGATCACCAGCGAGATTGAGTATGGGAAGAAGACTTCGGTCAAGTATGCCATCCTCAACTGATCAGCTCCTTCCAAAGACGGTGAATCCAGCAATAGTCCAGACGAGGCTCAAACAAAAGCAAGCGCAACAGAAAAAATACTATGACAGATCATCGAGACCCTTGGAATATTTATCTGAAGGCGATGATGTTTACGTTCAGCACGAGGGTAGATGGAAACCTGCTATTATCACAAGCAAAGCGGGAACTCCAAGAAGTTTCAATATTATGACAGAAGATGGTGCCCAATATCGAAGAAACAGAATACATCTGAGGAAAGCTTATGATCGAGTTTCGCAGTCCTCGTCTCCTGAGAAGTCAACCGAAAGTCCATCGAAAGAAGAAATCAAGGTTAACTCGCCGATTACAAATGAACAATTACAGTATCAAGAAACAAGAGAAGTCAACAAAGAAACCCTTAGTTCTACCGGTGAGACAGCATCGCCAGTAAAAACAAGATCAGGACGGATGATAAGGAAGCCAACTCGGTATAACGACTATGTTTAACATTTTTCATTAACTTAATTAATATAAGTTTCCAAAGAACACTTACGTACGATTAAGATACTATATTTACTTAGTTTAATCCATACTACTTAGAGACATAACTTTTATATATGAAAAACTCGAACAAAAATAGCAAGAAGTGAACTTTATAATTAGGGGATATGCTAGCTTTTAAAAGGAGGGTTGTAATATATTCATGTTAATATGCACTATAGTTATTATGCTAATCAGCATATATAAACACTGGTCTGTAGCCTGTACTTTTAGTTAGTACTACACTTCAAATATATAACATATAATATAACAGGGGGAAGGCTTGAGCTGTATGAAATGATTCAACCAGTGCCCTGTGGAATGCTTGATAATACGGGAAGCTTGAACTGGTGTGACTGATCGTTTATTCAGTTATATGAAAGTGGTTTTATCTACAGCGCCCCGTGATAAATATGTTGTGGGAAGGCTTGAGCTGTATGAAATGATTAAACCAGTGAGTGCCCCGTAGAATGCTTGATAAATACGGGAAGCTTGAACTGGTGTGAATGATCGTTTATTCAGTTATATGAAAGTGGTTTTATCTACAGCGCCTCGTGGCAAATATGTCGTGGGAAGGCTTGAGCTGTATGAAATGATTAAACCAGTGCCCCGTAGAATGCTTGATAATACGGGAAGCTTGAACTGGTGTGCATGATCGTTTATTCAGTTATATGAAAGTGGTTTTATCTACAGCGCCTCGTGGCAAATATGTCGTGGGAAGGCTTGAGCTGTATGGAATGATTAACCCAGTGCCCCGTATAGAATGCTTGATAAGACTGGAAGCTTGAACTGGTGTGCATGATCGTTTATTCAGTTATATGAAAGTGGTTTTATCTACAGCGCCTCGTGGCAAATATGTCGTGGGAAGGCTTTAGCTGTATGAAATGATTAAACCAGTGCCCCGTAGAATGCTTGATAATACGGGAAGCTTGAACTGGTGTGCATGATCGTTTATTCAGTTATATGAAAGTGGTTTTATCTACAGCGCCTCGTGGCAAATATGTCGGGGGAAGGCTTTAGCTGTATGAAATGATTAAACCAGTGCCCCGTAGAATGCTTGATAAATACGGGAAGCTTGAACTGGTGTGCATGATCGTTTATTCAGTTATATGAAAGTGGTTTTATCTGCAGCGCCTCGTGGCAAATATGTCGTGGGAAGGCTTGAGCTGTATGAAATGATTAACCCAGTGCCCCGTAGAATGCTTGATACTACGGGAAGCTTGAACTGGTGTGAATGATCGTTTATTCAGTTATATGAAAGTGGTTTTATCTACAGCGCCTTGTGGCAAATATGTCGTGGGACGGCTTGAGCTGTATGAAATGATTAAACCAGTGCCCCGTAGAATGCTTGATAATACGGGAAGCTCACTAGTTGAACTGGTGTGACTGATCGTTTATTCAGTTCTATGAAAGTGATTTTATCTACAGTGCCCCGTGGCCAATATATCGTGGGAAGGCTTGAGCTGTGTGAAATGACTAGATTATTTGTTTGCGATATATGTAACTCGTGCCCTGTAGAATAGCTGATCAATATACGGGAAGCTTGCACTAGTGTACTTGTTCGTCAGTTTTCGTTATGAAACTGGCCTTGTTTGCCGTGCTCCATGACCAATCTGTCGCGGGAAGGCTTGCGCTGTTTGAAATGACTATCTTTGTTTCGTTTATGTTTAACCAGTGCACCGTAGTATACTAGGATAGCATGGTTGATCATGCGGGAAGCTGTAACTGGTGCGAATGCTCGTTTATTTAATGACTGCATGCAATGGCGTTATACAGGGTGTCTCAAAAAAACCCAAAATCATTGAAATTGACGTATTGTTCGATATTCAATGCCCTAGCACTAAGTTAATCCCACGAGTGCATAAAAGATTGACATAACTGCTATAATGAATGGTAATGCTCAGCGTAAACTTGTTATGTCAGGCATAAAGTACTAAACCCACGAATGCATATTACGCATATTACAAATTACGAAGCATTTTTAAATTCCCATGAGCAAACAAACGTTCACTTTACAAAGATATTTTAATTTTTTAAAACAAATTAATCACCCTGTCAAAATCCTTTGTGTTACGGCATTGAAATAACGTATTGTTCGAATTTCAATGCCGTAACACAAAGGATTTTGACAGGGTGATTAATTTGTTTTAAAAAATTAAAATATCTTTGTAAAGTGAACGTTTGTTTGCTCATGGAAA